GGTGGCCGCCGACTGGACCACGCTGGCCGAGGAGCTGGGCTTCGAGTACCTGGAGATCCGGCAGCTGGAGGCGTACCCCAACCCCACCGGTGGCCTGCTGGATGCCTGGCAGGGCCGCGCCGACGCCTCCGTGAGCCGCCTGCTGGAGCTGCTGGCCAAGCTGGGCCGCCAAGACGTCCTGGAGGAGCTGGGGCCCAGCATCGGTGAGGACGACCCCGGCCCGGCGCCGGGGTGGGCAGTGAGGTTACCACTTGTCCGTTCGCGGCATCTAGCCCCCCACCTGGAGAGGCCCTCACTTCCTGGCTGGGGTGCTGGAGGCCTCCGGTAAAGAGGAACTGTACCCCGGCCGGTTCCCATTCTCAGCATCCCGGGGAGGGACTGAAAAGGGCAGCAAAGGGGTGGAAATAGCTCAAAGGCCAGAATCAGGGCATCGAGGGAGGTAAAAAGGATCCTTGGTGGATAGTGGGTTACGAGCTGGGCTGTTAGCCGAAATCCACCAGCCACTCAGGTGAGGAGTCTTCTCCTATGAAGATTTATAGCCTTGCAAACTCCGTGGAGAGTTGCCATGGGTTACGATCGACTGACACTTGCAGCTCTGCGCTTAGAGGAAGATTAAGGTAACACAATAGGCCCAGGAGGGGCTGGAGCTGACCTTGGAAACTTCAGGTCCCAGGGAAATGCAGCCCCACCTGTTCTCCCTCACTGATAAGTGAGGACACAGGGCCCAAGGCAGGCACACAGGCACAGCTGTTCCTTATAACCACCTTGCTGTCCTCAACACTAGGTCTTCTGAGCCCTCTGGCATGCCTGACCCCACAGATCTGCTCAGAGCCTAGAATGAACAGTCTCTGGTTCTGTTCTCAGTATTGCAAGGAAGGGACCCAGGAGCAGGATACCAAAGCCCCAGGCCCCGATCTCGAAGGCTTCTCAGAGAGCCTGGGCACGAAAGTCACCCCTATGTCCCCAAAGAACAAAAGAACCACGTTCCGGCTCAGCCTCTTAGGACCACTGTGGCCTCGGTAGGCTGGAGAAGCAGGAGTTGTGGGGTGAGATGGAGATGGGGCTGGATCCTTCCTGGGGGGACTAGGCTGAGGCGTCAACATTCCTTGTCGCTGCCCCGCAGAGGAAGACTGCAAGAAATACATTAAGAAGCAGCTGGAGGAGGCGGCTGAGAAGCCCTTGCAGGTCCCAGCTGTAGGCAGCACTATCCCTCAGTCGGAGACTCCAACAGGCCTCACCACACTTGACGATCCACTGGGTAAGAACACAGAGCCAGTTCCCAGGCTGGTGGGAGAGCGGGCTGTAGGACAATGTTCAGAACAGTGGTTCACCAGAAAGGTGCAGGGGTTCTGTCTGTAGTGGGCGATAGACACTCTCAGGGGGACTAACATCAGAAGGGTTCTCTCTAGCATTTTGGGGTAGTGTTTCAGCAGAAATGTATTCTTTTTTAACGTTCCCAGGACATGTGCCCGAGTGCTTCGACGCCTTCATCTGCTACTGTCCCAACGACATCCAGTTTGTACAGGAGATGATCCGGCAGCTGGAACAGACGGACTATCGGCTCAAGTTGTGCGTGTCTGACCGCGATGTCCTGCCTGGCACCTGCGTCTGGTCCATTGCCAGTGAGCTCATCGAGAAGAGGTTGGTGGGGGCTGGCGGGTGGGTGCACGGAGCTCTGTCCGGGGATCCTGACACCGGGCCTTTGACTTGGGCGCTGGAAGCCCCTCGTGGGGCGACTCTTGGTCATGGGGCTCTGCTGAACCAAGTGGCCACAGGACCTGAAGCCTGCCCACTCCCCCCAGGTGTCGAAGGATGGTGGTGGTCGTCTCAGATGATTATCTACAGAGCAAAGAATGTGACTTCCAGACCAAGTTTGCGCTCAGCCTCAGTCCGGGTAAGTTCAGTCCAGCCCTGATCGGAGAGGACACGGTCTGCCCTTTTCTTGGTTGCGTGGGCAGTGCCCCATGATGCCAGCCTTTCCTTAGTAACAGCTGTGCATGCAGCACCAAGGGAGCCCAGCAGGTCTCTTCACACCCAAGTATGTGAGGGAATGCGGGCCGGGGTGCCTCGCCAGAGGAGGGCTGGTGTCTCCTGTGAAGTTCTGTGCTGAGGACAGCCCCCACTCCATCCACCATGAGGCAAGGACCTGGTGCGAGCGTGGTACCTTTTGCTGGCAGGTGCCCATCAGAAGCGGCTGATCCCCATCAAGTACAAGCCAATGAAGAAGGAGTTTCCCAGCATCCTCCGGTTCATCACAGTCTGTGATTACACCAATCCCTGCACTAAGTCCTGGTTCTGGATCCGCCTGGCCAAAGCCCTGTCCCTGCCCTGAAGGCTGCCCCGGGGTCCTGGGTGTACACATGCCTGTCTG